TAAGTACTGTGCTCCCTTCAGTAATCAACTGTGTAAGATCAAATGGTTAACATTTACCCTAAAACAAAGATGAGAGGTAAGGAGGGGCAGGGAAGCTAGACTAATAGAAACAGAACAAACAGAATGCAAATAATGAGAATGCTGACACATTGTGAAAAATGTAACCAGTGTCATGGAACAATTTGTATAAAACTTGTTAAATGGGAACTTAATTTGTTGTGTAAACTTTCACCTAAAACATAATAAAATATTATTAATAATAATAAATACTTGGGGGAGAAAAAACATTAACCACCATGAAGTATATTAGACAATATAAATGTGCATGTTGCCATGTCCAGAAATATCTCCCATTAATACTTTGGTATACATTATTCCATATTCTTTTCCTATGCATTTGCTAATATATATGTGTATATGTGTATGTGTGTGTTAGCAAATGCATGGGAAAATAATATATATTGTTGTCACATGTGCCATCAAGTCGATTCTGACTCATAGGGACCCTATGTGACAGAGTAGAACTGCCCCGTAGGGTTTCCTAGGCTGTGATCTTTATGGGAGCAAATTGCCAGGTCTTTTTTCCCACAGAGTCGCTGAGTGGATTTGAATCACTCACCTTTTGGTTAGCAGCCAAGTGCTTAACTATTGCACCACCAGTGCTGCTTATAAGTATATATACACATACACATATCTGTGTATACAAAAATAAGAATAAACTGCATCTACAGTTTTAATAATTTATCTAGAATTTTTATACTTCAGTATTTATAGGTCTGCCTCATTGTTTTTTACAGCCCTATAGTATTCCTTTGAATGGTTGTACCATAGTTTATTTAAACATTTCCCATCTATAGACATTTAGGTCATTTGCAGATTTTTACTGTTATAAACAGTGTTGAAGTATGTAGTCTCTGCTTTTACCTTTAAGAAGTTATGGGAGTATTTCTGTAGGGTGACTCCCAGAAGGGGAATTGCAGGGGTAGATGCTGTTTAATATTTATTTAAAATGTGTTTCCTTTTTTCCTTTCTGCAAACCTCTTCAAAAACAAAGTGTAATTTAAACAAATTGGTTGACATTGTTTTGAGGGTAAATTAACCAAAAATAGTACTTAACATTCTTATCCTCTGAACTTAATTTCATGTATGATATTTTGGGTTTTTTTCCTCCTTCAATTACTATTTACGAGAAGAACTGACTAACAGTAGGGAAAGATAGAATATTTGGTAATAGATTTCATTCTGACTCCAGTACCTTAAACTATATTGTCTAATATATTTAGATAGATATCTTAATTTATAATTCAGTTATGTAATCAAATCAATTGAAGTAACTTGAAACTAAATCATCTTGGCTTCCTAGGGAACAGTATACCAAACATATTGCTGAGCAGGAGAACCTTGGAAAGGTAAGAATGTATTATTTATTTTTTAAAAAATGTGTTCTTATCTAATGCAGCTTCTCAGTACATGGTTATGACGCTGCCGTTCTTCTAACAAGATTATAGTGCGGTTTTCTAGGGGAGGTTGGATCCCGGCTAATATTCCCTTTCAAAGATGAAGACCCTTCCTTAGGAGTTCGGTTGTATAAAAGTGAAGGTACAAATAGATTTTTGAAAAAAATAACTCTAGCTTTAAATACCAGAGAGTTCATGATGAAGTTCTTAAATAACAAGTAAAAATGCCACATATCGTACACCGCAGATTATTCTCAGTTATCTCTGTTTTAAGAGGTAAGTATGAATTTACTAATTTATTTCATTTAATAAACACAAAACTCTTACTATGTGCCAGGCACTAGTCTAAGCTCTTTACTAACATTGGTTCCTGTAATACAAATCTCTGAAAAGCCCCCGCTGAGATAATCAGCTCCCTTCCTGCTAGCCTCATATGATGGGAGTGTGGGGTCGAGTCTGGTTGTCTCACATCTCTGGGCCAGTCCTGGTAGAAGAGGTGGTAAGATAGTAAGGACCTTGACCATCAAGACTTAAACTACCAACTAATTGACTCTTCTAATTGACTTCAGAAAGAACATGTTTTGACACTTACTCTGAAGACATCAGCTCTTGTCATTCTTTAAAAAAAAAAAGGAAGTTTTTACTAGTAACTCCGAGGAAAGATGACCAGCCATTAGGTGGCTTGGCTTCAGTCTTGGGCTTATGGCTCTGGACAAGACCTTTACCCATTTTGGGGTTCATTTCCTCATATTTAAACTGAAGTAAGTAGATACGAAATTGAAAAAATTAAAAATGACCTAAATAAATTCTGAGATCATCTTTAACGATTTGAAGTCCATATTGCATAGTGACGGCTAACCAGGCTTCACCGTGTGCCATTTCATTTGTTTCTTGTTCATTTCACCACTGGAAATTGTGTTTTCTACTAATCTTCCCTCATGGAAGTGTTAAGTTTGTAGCATCATAGTTAGGGATGATTTAGCTGACTAGCTACATGTATGTAATTTCACTGTTGGCAGATATTCTTGAGTCTGCAACCTGGGAATGATTATTTGTATTTCAGAGCTGCTTGTCCATTCTTAAAGTACAAATGAATTTGTACACTTTAGCTATTGGTCAGACTCAGTAAATTGCTGATGGCAAAATTATTCATTCTTATTTACATTTTCTGGTTTAAATCATTATTAAAAACATATACACATTTATGCTTTTACATAAAAACTGAATTTGCTCCCAGAAATCTGTAAGTAATACTCTGAAGGTCAGCTTCAGAAAAGCAAGTGGTATAACGGCAGGTTCAGACATTGGTGTATGTGCTTGGCCTGAGGAGCCAGTGGGGCGAAGCTACCATCTGTGGGATTATGACTGAACGCCTCTAAGTCAGAATCCCGCCCAGAAGGAACAATACGGCAATGCTGCAGAGCCTCAGTTGGCCTTGGATAGCCCGTCCCCCGCCATCCCCACCAGCGGATCCGTCGTGTGCTGGGATCGGAGTCCAGTGCGGAGTGCCTCTCATCCCAGGAAACAGGGCACAGCCAGATAGGGGGCCACTCCCTTGCCCATCACCCACTGCACGTTCGTGGGGAGCCTGCTGCTAAACTATTCCTAGATGACCTGCCTCTGGGTCTGGGCTTTAAACGTAGGAGAGCAGCTCCCTCGCTGCCATCTATTGAAAGTCAGCCCTTGACACAAGAGTTTGTAGAATAAAATAAAGTAAAAAAAAATTGAATAGAAAACAATGGAGTAATTGCTAAACAGAGTAGATATGGTCTCACTGTCTTTTTTTTTTGTTTTAGCCTTTTATTGTGGAAAAGTTCAAACTTACATAAAAGTAGAGAGAATAATATAATGAATCCCCATGTACTGATCACCCACCTTCAACAGTTAAACTCGTGGCCAGTCTTGTTTTATGTATAACCCTGCCCACTAAACCCAAAAAACAAAACCCATTGCCATCAAGTCTGTTCCAACTCAGCAACCCTATAGGACAGAGTAGAACTGCCCCATAGGGTTTCCAAGGCTGTAAATCCTTATGGAAGCAGACTGCCACATCTTTCTCCCGCGGAGCGCCTGGTGGGTTTGAACCACTGTCCTTTTGGTTTTCAGCCAACCGCTTAACCACTGCACCACCAGGGCTCCTTCACTACCCACTGCCCTCTAAATTATTTCGAAGGAAATCTCAAACATTTTATCATTTCATCTGGTTATAGTTCAGTATGTATCATAAAGACTTTTTAAACATAGCCTCAAAACCATTATCACACCTGAAATGATTTATGATAACAATAATTACATAATATTCAGTACCCAGTCACTGTTCACATTTCACCAGTTGCCTCCTGATTTTTTAATAATGTATTTGTTTGAATCAGGATCCTAATAAGAGTTCATATATTGCCATTAGTTGATACATCTCTTAAGTCTCTTTTTCTCTAGATTACCCCTCCATCTCTTTTTTTTTTTTCTTTACAGTTCATTTGTTGGGAAAAACAAAACAAAACTGATCATTTGTCCTGTTGGTTTTCCTACATATTGAACTTTACCGATGGCATCCCTGTGGCATCAGTTAGCATATTGCTCTGTTCCCAGTATGTCCTGTTACTGGTAGCTAGATCTAAAGGCTTGATTAGATACGGCTTGATTTGGACAAGAATACTTCATAAGTGGTGTTGTGTGCTTCTGTCAGAAGGCTCTCTTTTTGTGATGTAGGCAGCCATTGATATTCCATTAATTCATTAGGTAATATTCTAATTGCGTCATTCTTTTGTCATTTATTGGCTGAAATAATTTTGTAAATAACAACTTCTCCCTCTCAATTATTTGGTTATCCTGAGGTACATGTATGAGAAAGGCAAAATTAGTGCTTGATTCACTTACTTACTGGTTTTCAAAATAATGAGTCGGTTCCTATCATCCTTCAAAAGTATCTTTATGCCTCCTTGGTTTAAAAAATATGTAATGAGTTTCAGTCTGTTACCATTACTATTCCTATCAGTGCTCAAACTGCCCCATGTTTGGCCAGTGGAGGCCTCTTTTAGTCAGCTCCTGAATCCTTTACAAACAACCATAGTAGACTTGCTGGCTTCCTTATGTTCTGGTGTGACGGGTGTTCCAGGTCATCTTTTAATCCCCCAAACCTGGAATCAGTCATTTCTCCAAAAAGTGTTCATCTGTTCTTTCTGTATAATTTGTGAGTACATGTCCTTCATATTAATGAGAGTAAATTTAAAAAAAAAAAAACAAAAAACCTCCTCAAGGCTGATTTCTCCACTTATCAGAGAAATTGTGAGTTCTGTGTGCTTTATTCAGTTTATGGGATGACACGCTGCACTCAAAAAGAGAAAAAGAAATAATTTGTATGTTTAAGAGCATGCATTTGAATCAAGTTGTGAGCATTCATTTGTGTAGTTGTTTTTTTTTTTTTAATTGTGCATTAGGTGGAAGTTTACAGAGCGCCTTAGTTTCCCATTCGGTAGTTTGTACATAAAGTGTTCCATAACATTGGTTTCATTCCCCACAGTGTGTCAGCATTCGCCCCATTTTCATGCTAGGTTCCCAGTTTCCTTTCGTCCTGATTTTCTGCCCCTTCCTGCCTTCTTATCTTTGCTTTTGGGCAAATGTTGCCCTTTTGATCTCCTATAATTGATTGTTCTAAGGAGTCCATTCCTCTCAGGTGTTATTGTTTCTCTAATGTGCTTGTCTGTTGTTTGGCTGGGAGGTGGTCTCCGGGAATGGCTTCATTTCCAGGTCAGAAGGGTGTGTTAGGGCTGTAGTCTCGGGGGTTCCTCCAAGTCTCTGTCAGAGCAGCAAGCTTGGTCTTTTTTGTGAATTTGATTTTTGTTCTGTAATTTTCTCCTGCTCTGTCCAGGACCCTCTGTTGCGATCCCAGTCAGAGCAGTTGGTAGTGGTAGCTGGGCACTATCTAGCTCTTCTGGTCGCAGGGCCGTGTAGTCTGTGGTTCACGTGGTCCAGTAGTCCTTTGGACTAATTACTCCCTTGAGTCTTTGGTCTGCTTCACTCTCCCTCGCTCCAGATGGGAACAGACCAGTAATTGTATCTTAGATGGCTGCTCGCAAGCTTTTAAGACTCCAGATGCTACTCACCAAAGTAGGATGCGGAACATTGTCTTTGTGTATTATGTTGTGCCAATTAACGTCAGTGTCCCTGGAGTGTATGGTCCTTTGTCTTCGAGTCTGGGAGCTTCATCCTGCAAGTTCGGTTATGTCTAAGAGGTTACCCTTTGTGTGCTCTATGTGAGCTTCACCTACATGGACATGTTATCAGGAGGGGCTAGTCCCTGGAGAAGGACTCATGCTTGGTAAAGTAGAGGATCAGCAAAAAAGAGGAAGACCCTCAACGAGATGGGCTGACACAGCGGCTGCAACAATGGGCTCAAACAGCAATTGTGAGAAGGGCACAGGACCAAGCAGTGTTCCATTTTGTTGTGCATGGGGTCGCTATGAGTCAGAACCGACTTGACGGTACCTAACAGCAACATAGTCGTGTATGTAGAAATAACCACCGCCAAACCTATATTTGCTGGGAAGTGTGTTTCCCTTACATCCTCCCACACCTCGTGGTGTATCTACCTACCTATTTGTCCATTCGTAAATTATTGTTTGTTGATATTATTGCTGCAGGATTGTCTAAGCTATAGTAGTTGTCGGAGTTTCCCTTTATTCTTGTGTTCCTTTCAGTGTCCTCTTTTGCCTTGGTCATGTCGTACTGACTTCCCCCGTGTTATGTATTGCCTTTCCCTTCACCAATATTAACTCGTGTCTTCTGTCTAATCGATAATTTTCTCTCCCTCCCCCACCTGTCCCTGGTAAACATCAAATAATGCCTTTTCTTTTTTTTCCTGTGTGTAAACCTTTTATTGTTACTTTATAGTAGTGGTCTCATACGGTATTTGCCCTTTCGTGATTGATTTATTTCACTCAGCTTGTCCTTCAAATTCATCCATGTTGTGAGATGTTTTGTGGATTCGTCATTATTCTTTATCGTTGCATAGTATTCCATCATGTGTACGTACCAGTGTGTTAATCCATTCACCTGTTGACGGACACTTAGTCATTTGTGTAGTATTTTAACTACAGATTTTTGGTTTTATAGGACTTAGTATGGTTGTCAATAATGACTTTTATCTGAACATTTCCTATGTTACTTTTTTTCAAATGAAAAACGTTTCTCTCATTTATTTCAAAAAGTATTCTGGATGGGTACTGTGTACAGAAATTTTTATCAAATTTGAATCTTTTCAAAGATCTAAAATTAATTGCTAAGTCTGATTAAAGATTACTCTTTTACTCCTTTCCCTTCCAATGAAGTGTTTTAATGCAAAGTCTTTGGGGAAAGAGCAGTAGTTCAGCATCAAGTATATTTTGGCAAAGCAAGCCAGTGGCTAGCTCCTTCTCCAGTTGTCAGACTGGATTGTTAAAGAAACAAAGTTTCAAACGGAACAACCAGAATGGAAATAATAAGAATGTTGACACCTTGTGAAGAATGTAACCAATGTCACTGAACAACTTGTGTAGAGATTGTTGCATGGGAATGTAAAGTGCAGTGTAAACCTTCAACAGAAACAATCAAATATTGCTTTAAAAAGAAGAAAGAAAGAAAAAGAAACAAAGTTCCTCAATCCTCTCACTTCCCCTGATGTAGATCTAAATTTTTAAGGCAAATTCAGCACAAACCTAGCCTTTCAAAGTGATGAAAGCCGAGGCCCTCCCAGCCACCATAAATCAGACATCTCATAGACCTACTCAGGCAGGCGGAGTTTCCAAGTTAGACCTCTCATTGCGCTGCAATTCACCACCATGACCAGAAGTTTTGCTTTAGCAACTACTGTGGAATATTGTACTGAAAGTTGCAGCTTTTCCCATACTATACTCACCTCCTCCTTTAAAAAATATGAATCCTGTAATCACTATTTTTTTGTACATTGGAACTGTAACAAAATAAAATCTGTATTAAGTGACCATAATAAGATTTAAAAATAAAGTATATACTACATAACAACCCCCGTTGCCATCAAGTCAACTCCAACTCATAGCGACCCTGTAGGACAGTGTAGAACTGCCCCATAGGGTTTCCAAGGAGCACCTGGTAGATTCGAACTGCCGACCTTTTGGTTAGCAGCTGAGCTCTTAAACACTACCCCACTAGAGTTTCTACTACGTAACAAGTCAGTTGTATTCATAAAGTTAAAAGTTTTCAAGCACACATGATTATGAAGCAACTCAAATTTAATATTTCTGATACAAGTAGTGCCCCCATCCTTTTGCTTCTTTAAATAACTTTTATGGATTGTTAGGATTTTTGACAAGGAAAATATTCCAATAATATAATTTCCTTATATATATTAATCTTAAATTTATGCTCGTAACTCTTAAAATTCTTGGTCTGACTTAATGACCTCACTAAATATTTTTGTTTTAGATGATAGGATAAAATTGTTTACTGTAAGATACTTTATTTGTAACATAAACTTAAACAGATATACTCACATGCCCGGTATTTCATCAAATATTGGCTGGTTATATTTAAATTAATTTTCTTAATTTTTTTTTTTTTTCTTTTGTTGTTTGCTGTTAACTTTGTTTCCATTTTGGAGAGCTGAGGTGGTCAGTCTGTAGTAAGTGGTTGAAATATACTCCTCAGCTTAGTTTACCCTTTTATTGGGGCAAATACCAACTGCATACCAGCATTCTCATTTGTGCCTTTAGGCTAACTATTAGGTAGACCAACCACATACTAACAAATGAAAAGATGAAAATGTTCCTGCATAATCTGCATTGCTTGTTTCTTTGACCTTCCTGGTGCTGTGTCCCCACTGCTGTCTGCTGTTTCACTCTTCCTCCGCTTGTGTCTCTTCTCTGTAATCGTGTTTCTCCTGGTCCCTGACTTTGTGCCTATCCTTCCTTTCAGTCATACATCTTCAGTTTGCCGCAATATGGAACCAAAGTATACCTTTTGCATATTTCTTGAACATTTTTCTTATTTCTTTTTATAGAGTCAGTAAGTTTTGGCGGGCAGAACCATATAGATGGTTGGTAACAAAAACAATTCTTATAAGGATTTGGGCCCACTTAATAGTGGGCATTATTTTTAATCACTGGGCCTTCTCCCTATGAAATATATATGTAGACTTTGATCTATTTGGGCATACATAGAACAGACTCTGTGTTTTAGTCATCTAGTTCTGCTGTAACAGAAATAACACAAGTGGATGGATTTAACAAACAGAAATTTATTTTCTCACAGTTTAGGAGGCTGGAAGTCCAAATTCAGGAGAATGCTTTCTCTCTCTGTTGGCTCTGAGGAAGGTCCTTGTCTCTTTGAGCTTGTGCTCCTGGCTGATCTTCATATGGCTTGGTATCTCTCTTCCCCATCTCTGCTTCTCTTGCTTCCTTGCTTTTAATCTCTTTAGAGCTCAAAAGAGATTGATTTAAGACACATCCTACATTAATCCTGTCTCGCTAACGAATGGGATTGTAACCACAGGCATAGAGTTTAGGAATTAGGACACGTATTTTTGGGGGACACAGTTCAATCCATAACACTGTTTCAGGATACAATATGATATTTAATAATAATAGCATATATAACACTTGATGGTTTATCAAGTATTTTGATATCTATTATGTCATGTAAAAAGATAATCTTATGAAGCAGATGTTATTATTTTCTCCTGTTATTATCCTTAATTGACAGTTGAGAAAACGGAGGTCTAGAGAAATTAAGTGTCTTGCATAAGGTCATACGAGTAGTGACAAAGCCAAGATTGAAACTCAAGTCTTTGGGCTTCCAAAATCTACTGTCTTTCTTCTATACCATAATACTGTCCTACTTTCTTGACTTCCTTTATTTATTTGGTTTTTTTTTCCTCCCTTTCTTTTGTATTTTTCTATTCTTTTTAACTTCAGGTTGTCCTTGTTGTCGTTAGGTGCCATAGAGTCGATTCTGACTCATAGTGACCCATATACAACAGAACGAAACACTGCCCGGTCCTGCACCGTCCTCACAATCATTGCTATCTCTGAACACATTGTTAAAGCCACTGTGTCAGTCCGTCTCGTCGAGGATCTTCCTCTTTTTCGCTGACCCTCTACCAAGCATGATGTCCTTCTCCAGGGACTGGTCCCTTCTGATTACTTGTCCAAAGTATGTGAGACGAAGACTCACGATCCTTACTTTTAAGGAGCATTCTGGCTGTACTTCTTCTAAGACACTGTCATGGATTGAATTATATCCCCCCAAAAAATGTGTGTATCAGTTTGGCTGGGCCGTGATTCCTGGTATTGTGTGATCTTCCTATATGTTGTAAATCCTGCCTCTATGATGTTAATGAGGGAGGATGGGTGGCAGTTGTGTTCGTAAGGCAGGACTCAGTCTACAAGATTGGATT